AGACTTAAAGTGCACAGATTTCAAGAGAGGAGGAGGAGAGATCAGATCTAGTTCTTCAACGCAAGAGAGTTCTTCGTCAGATCTACAACACCCGCACCCAATCCTTAGTATTATCCCGTTGTGGTAATACTAAGAAGAGCAAATATCTCGCTTTTATCGAGATAGGTGCTATAGTTTTCTCGATCCCTTCGCGGATAGACGAAGCTCTGCCTAATTTTTTAGCAATCAGATCTGATCGACGGTGGTCCACGGATAAACCCCCGGCACAGGCAAAGACACCCACGCAAGCAGAAGACCGATAAACGATCTCTGCGCGTTTGTTTGATAAAGTTGTAAACTTTTTATTTTCATTGTGTAAGGAGATCTTATAAAAAGATCGACTTTTTATTTCATTCGAGTTTATTGTAATGACTAAAGTTGTAATAGATTCGATAGCAATAGAAACAACAACTTTCTCCGCAAATAATAACGTATCACAATACGAATTTATAACACATAGTATTCACGCAAATACCTTCAATCAACATAAAATAGCTGTCATAAAAAAAATTCAATTTTTTTTATATATACGCATATATCGTCCTCACTCATACTAGGAAATCCTTACGGACTCTATACATGAATCCTAAGAAACTCTATCCTAGCTCCACAACTCGACACAGGATGATCCTAATGATACTTGAACTAGAGCTCTGATGCCAACTGTGACGCCCCTGGGTTCACACAAGGTTGCAGTCCAAGGTAAAACCAGAGATGTCAAACCTGCCATGCACCCACACTGTACATAAACATGTTTCACCAATCACAGTAATATCCTCTAGTAGAACCAAATAGAAGTGTAGGTACAAACAGGCAAAATAAAGGGAATAAATGTAATAGACATTATATAAAAGAGATATCTCATAAATAAAAAGAACCATGTCTCAACTATAATACATCTGATATCTAAATAATGAAAATGTCTCAATATGAATCAACTAAGAATCGTACTATGGCACAATGCCTTTACAATATGAAAATAAACTCTAAGTCTGAATAATATTTAAAACTACAGTGGAGTCTCTATAAGTAAAAATACGGCGACTGCCAGAACTCCGTCACCCTGCGGCTCTCCGGAACTCCGAGCTACCTGAAAGGGTATTTTGAAAAGAAAAAAAACAACAACAAGAACGTTAGAGCGCTACAGCAAGATTACCTCCATCCGCCCCAGGGGAAGGACTGCTAGATGGAGTGGAGGCTCTATCTATTGAGCATAGTCTACCTAGATTTATTTTTCTCGTATCTAAGTGGGATTAACATTTAGAAACCTACAACACGAGACGTAGTACGTCGAGCGAAATAATCCAAACAAGGACATCCTCATGTATATACCATAAGTCTCAAATTGTAGATATCTAAACATTAATACCGAACTAAGAAAAGACAATCTAATAAAACCAATAATTAGAAATCCATAACACGAGACTGGTACGTCGAGCAAAATATCCCAAACAAGGAAACCCTCATGTATATACCATAAGTCTCAAATTGTGAATCTCTAATCATTGATCCCAACTAAGAATTAAAAAAGACAGTAAAAGAAATAAGATATCAACACATCGTATTTATAATATCTTCCACTATCACTGGAGAGATAGAATAAAATACTAACACATAATTTTTGTATACTTTCAAAAGTAACATATCTCAGTCATATAGTTCAATGATAGGTCGTATTGATTATCGGTATCTACCATACTTAGGCTATCAAGTAACTATCTCAGTGCAACGGACTACCTTGTAGGTATACTGAACTGTGTACACGGCTCATTAGTCTCATCGCGATCTCAGTGCGTAACATGAGTGCGGGACGGACTACCAAATAGGCATCCTAGAAATACGGCTCACGAGCATCATCGCACCCTAGTGCGGGACGAATGGCTAGATCAAGCCTCCTAAAATCCTACTCAATGGCCTGTACATATGGAATATCGACGCACTAGCTCATGTAGTACTGAACTGAGCTCATCAACGATATCCACCTCATATAAATCTTTGTATCTCAGGTATGTCGACGCACTATCCCATATAGTACTAAGCTATGCTCATCAACAACATTCAGCTCATGTATAAACCATGTATATTTGATATGTCGACGCACTATCCCATATAGTACTGAGCTGTGCTCATTAACGACATCCAACATGTGTATGAACTATATCTAATTCAAATATGATCAAATCAAAATTCATCATAATCCCCTTGGGACTCTTAACTGTATAACATAACATATTTATGACTATACGTATAACATCAAGCGGCTCAAAACTCCGCGAACACACCTCAAAACGGCGCAACACAGCTCCACAAAACGAGCAAGAAAAACAGACGTGATATCTGTTAGTAAAATAAGTATATCTTTCTCTAGGAAAACTATTTTTATAAATGGTTTTCTGTTTTGAAAACTAGCTTCATACATCTTTCAAATGACATAAGTTTGGTTCAGTTTGGAGTTCATTTGTTATCCCAAATCTCCAGTTAAACATTATATATGTGCATCCGTTTTTCTGCAGGATATGTTGTTAGTAAATATAACATATCTTTCTTTATACAAACTCTTTTTAAGAATGGTTTTCTGTTTTGAAAACTAGATTCACACATATATCAAATGACAAGAGTTTGGTTCAGTTTGAAGTTCATTTGTTATCCAAAATCTCCAGTTAAACATTATATATGTGCAGCCGTTTTTCTACAGGACATATTGTTAGTAAAAAGATCATATCTTTCTCTATACAAATGATTTTTAAGATTAGTCTTCTGTTTTAGAAACTAGATACATATATCTTTCATTTGGCACTAGTTTGGTTAAATTTAGAGTTTATTTTCTATTTCAAAATCTCAGTTAAACATGCTACAGTTTTCTGCAGAAAATATTTATTTAGTACATCTCTTAAATTTCTCATATATAAATGAAATTATAAAAAAAATCCTAATGATCATGATCATGGTACTATCATAGACAGTAAGAAAAAAAATTTACTAATCTAGCATTGGTTTATGTTTTAACATCAAAAATTTAACTTTTATCACATCATGTTAATATTCAAGCATGAAAACACATATTCAACATCATATTAAACATCTAACTAGTTATTTAACTATAGGGAAGGCTTTGGATGAAGACAATCTTACCTTAGACATCGTTCTAAGCCTCTGAAATAACCAGCAACCAAAAAGAAGTACAACCAAGCCGTTTTCTCCTTGCTACACGTTGATGATCTCGCCCTCGTGTCGATATTTGCTTCACAAAGCTCTTAAAATTTTCAACTTTAGGGCTAGGGATTCAGAGAGAGAAGAGGGGTTGTTAGGGTTTGAAACTCTAATGTAAGGATATTAATTTTCGTGAAAACACATGTTTATATATATGCAAACCCGAAATAAACCCGTTTGACCCGAACCAGGAATCCTAATCTGACTAGGAAAATGATCTTCGGTATTTTAGCCATAACTTTTACGTCTGACCTCAGAATGAGGTGATCTAAGACTTGTTGGAAATATCTTGAAGATACCTACAGTTTTTCTCTTTTAAGTTTTTCCAAATTCTAACTACATCTGTGAGAAAAATATAAAATCTCTTCGCTAGTCATAAATTTCCAGATTTATACATCGAGCATGAATTGTGCATTTGCTCTTATATATATATATATATATATACATATATACATTGAATTGATCTCAAACCAATTCCTAGCATACTTAAACATCATAATATATTATTTATAAATATATAACATATGTATTATTATTTATCACAAAATATTCAAATTTTTTGGGGTTTTACACAGAGATCTTGCGGGAGAGCGTCGACGACGGAGTTGTCGCGGGGTAGAGGAGAGATCACGGGGGGAGAGAGCCACCACAGTTAGAGTTAGAGAGAGAGAGAGAGAGAGAGAGAGAGAGAGAGAGATCATCCAGAGAGGAGAGAGAGTTAGAGAGAGAGAGAGGAGATCATGGGGAGATAGGAGAGAGTTAGAGAGAGATCCAAGATTAAATCAACATGGCATATATTAGAGAGTGAGAGATCACGCCCGGAGAGGAGAGAGAGTTAGAGAGAGAGAGGAGATCACGGGGAGATCAATCAACTTGGCATATATATAAAGAGGCTAATGGGTGTCCTATGTCAAGGAGGGGATTTCCTCCTTGAAAATGATGTGGCACAATCCTCACCATGTGAATAAAATATGAGAGGGAATATCACATGGTGGGGATTGTGCCACATCATTTTCAAGGAAGAAATCCCCTCCTATGACAAGGATACACATTATTCTCATATATAAAATGAGGTCTTTTTTGAAAAATTAACTTAACCACTAGATGTAGGGTTAGGATCAAGCCACCTCACTACCAAGTTGATTGGATCAACTTGGTACCAAGTTTCTCTA